TTCTCTGCACCAGTATAGGGAATGGTCTTGGCTCAGGACACCCCAAGACCAAGTTCTCAGCACAAAGGAGATGTATTTGCCCCAGAGGGACAGAGGGCAGGGAGCAAGAGACAAAGACAGGAGACAGAGGATGAGGGAGAAGGGGAAGGGAACAAGAGAGAGGTGGATGGAGTATTTGTCCCAGAGGGGGACAAAGGACTGCCTCTGGATAGAGAGGAGACAGACATGGACCATAGGCAAATGGTGGTTTATAAAGGTGCAAGGGGAAATGCTGTGTTAGCATAAGGTGTTTGACTTTAATTGGGCATGTTAATTAGGACAGTCAAAGGGGGCTTTTGATTGCTGGACTTTGATTGCTGCAATCTAATCCACTCACAAAACCTATTCTATTTCCCCTTCCCAAGGAGATCTAAGTGTCCCCCCTCCCCCAGCCCTCCTTGTTACTCCCATCAGTATTTTGGGGTTCTTGAAGTTAGTGCAGGACACAGCCAGAGTAGACAAACTGCAGTATCAGAATGTTTCATGTGAATTCACCCTGCTGTGGTGGGATAGCTCAGTCAGAGTCAGAACAAGCCCAGATTGTCTGGGTCTCACCATAAATGTAGCCCTAAGAAAACCTGGGGACTCAGGGAGGGTCTGGCTGAGGGAACTATGGAATCTTACTAGAGGGGGCACTGACCACCAGGAAGTCCTGGCTCCAGGTCATTGTTCCAAAATCCTGACTCCAGGTGAGCTGGGGGAGTGTGAGGAGGCTTGGAATCTGACCTGTTAGAGCTAACACAGAAGAACGATTTATCAGCTGTCTGAATCTTCTAGCTCGTGGATCCAGCCAGTGCACTGCCATGAGAGTCACAGTTGGGCGAGGCCACCTGAGCATGTCCCGAGTCTCAACATGGAGAGCACAGCTGCATAGGCTCTCAGGTCCGTAGCCAACTGTTCTGATGGGCTTTTGACACGTCACAGGAATGTCATGGTCCATAAGCAGGGAGGAATAGAGGATATAGGTCCCCAGGATGACTGTATGTCCTTGGGGATTAAGTGTAGTGGGTTCTCTCCTGCAGGCAAATAGTAACAGATGCTGCTGATGTGGACCGCTGTTCTGTCCTAGTTTCAGGTCCTTGCTCATGTTTAAGGCTACATTATAGACATTGCAACATTCATTCGACATGTGTGCTGTGACTGGGAACCTGAGACACAGCAAACACCAGGCTCACACAGGTCACAGGTGGCAGATATGAAGCACTAGCTAGCTGTAATGATACGGTGTGTGGGAGGCCTTGGCAGGTTTTAGACCAAGGTGCCCCGCGGTGGGTGAGACATGCCATGCAGGGTGGTGGACAGCGGAAAGTTACTCGCACAGCAGACTTGTCGTCCATGTGGCAAGTTTATTTGGAGGGAGGGTAGAGGGAATGGAGGGAAGGAGAAAGGAGAGAGAGATAGAAAGAGGGAGGGAGAGAGAGAAAGAGAGAGAGGTGTGCACTACCTCTGGAGAGAGGGGGGGAGAGAGAGAGCAAAGGGGAAGGAATTCTGTCTTAAACGGAACATAGGATGGTGTCAGGAGGATGCTGAGTGGGTCCCCAATGGGTGGGTCAGAATACTAACACCAGCCATCTGTCTGCAGCCAAGTGTCCCATGTCTCCACCCTGGAGGCCTTTTCAGGTGTCTGTGGATCTGGGAGGACCTGTTTTTCAGAGACGTTAATCTTGGTCATCTGCAGCTCAAGGGGACGTATTGTCCAGGATGTGAAAACCAATAGACAGTTAGATTTGACTCTAGAACTAAATCACTTGCTTCTGGAGAATTTCTGCAGAATTCCAGGACTCCTCAGCTCATGTACTAGACAGGAAATCATGTTTTCTGACATGCCATCTGTCTCTCCTCCTGGAACGTGAAGGAGAGGGCTTTGCTTTGTCACTTCCAATAGATCCTGCATCTAACACAGGGCTCTCTATGCTCAAGGTGTCACTGATCTCCCCCATCTTTAGCATCTATTGCTCATCTTGTCCTTTAGAGAAGTATCCCTTTCAGGGATGGGCCTTAGATCCTGAGTATTAGTAACAATGATCTCATATGGAGAAAGTTAGCATCCCATATCCCTAACCCAGATCTGCCAAACATACCTGTCCCTTCCAGCCAGAGTTCCAGGAAGTTCTTGCTCTCTACCTTCTACCAGTCAGATCTGCCTCTGAAAACATCTACCTGGGAGTACTGGAGAGATGGCTCAGTGGTTAAAAAAACTGACTGCTCTTGTAGAAGACCCAGTTCACCCATTCCATCTCATATCCAATCTGTAATTCCATTTCCAGGGGATCCAATGCCCTGTTGTAGCTTCTGTGGGCACTAGGCATACTTGTAGTGCCTATACATTCTTGTGTTGCCAAAGCCACAGAAGTATTAAAGCAAACTGATTAATAAAATGGGCAATGTGCACTTGTGGGGTCAGGGCCACTGTGGAAGTAGCTGCAGAAGCTCTAACAGTGACTACTGCAGAAATGTTACTTAAAATACACCTAAAAACTGCTGGGTCTGGGAATCGTGCAAATATTGAGGATGAGGCGGCCAAAATTAGATGAGGAGAAGCTGAAGGGTAAATGGCTCTGGTTTGGTCGGCAGTGGAAGAGTCATGAGCCATGGTTACCAGTTAGAATGGGCTTTATTAGAGAGAAGAGGGGATAGGACAGAGAGAGAGATGCAGAGAAAGAGAGAGACAGAGAGAGACTGAGAGCAGAGAGAGACACACAGAGAGAGACAGAGACGGAAAGAGCGCGTAGGGGTGCACGTCCGGTTTTTAGGCTAGGACGCAGTCGCCCGCTGATGATGTAATGAGGTGCCAGATGAGACCCCACCCCCCTACCCCCACCCCATCCCCGAGCTGCGCACATACAGAATCCTTACAGAAGCAACTTTATTCCATCACCGTGGGGTACAAAAACTTCTAACTAGCTAGGGCCACAGACAGTTATTTGGCTCTGTGACCCTGAGAAATGACTGCATATGTCTTTTTATAGTAGAAGACCATAGGGTAGGGAGTGCATTTCTGGGGTCAGAATTTGTGGCAGGGTCCTGTGCTGTTGCTCCTTTTTGGAGGAGGGGGGCCAAGCAAGCAAAGAGTCAACGACACAGACCCTGGGAGAATGTTGAAACAACAAGTTCAGTTTATACAGGAAGAGGCAAGCCTTATATACCCTCCACCCCACCCTGGGGGGAGGTCTGATGACTATGCATCAGCTGGTGTGACGTGGCTGCCTCTCATTGGTCCAGGTCATCTCCATATCATGTCTCAGCTGCTGTTGCAAGGCCCTTAGGCAGACCCAGGTTGGCTCTCAGAAAGTATCTTTTTTACTGGTTTGGGCCGGCTGGCCTTCAAGCCCGTTAGGGATGAGTCATCCCATAGGAATTTATAGCCATTGGAGATTACTCTGGAGGTCAGGATTTACAGCTGCTAATCCTCTGGGAGGTGCAGGGGTTAAGATTTACAACTGACTTGAGTCACCCTCAGAGTCAGAATTGACAACCTCTGGTTACAGGGTGTTAGTTCAAGATGTTTACATAGCCATGGGGTCTGTTCGAACTACTTCTCTGCATCTGGGAGAGTGTAGGAGAAAGGCTCAGGTAGCTTGCTCTGAGACAGTTAGCAGCCACAGAATACACAGATAGGCTATAGGCGTACGGTTTTTCATATTCCTGGGCTTTTCAAAACCTTCCTTTCTCTAGAAAGAGCCTAATGTAGCTCCCTGAGAATCCGTCCTTCAAAATCACATGGTGTCTCATCAAGGTGCACAGGAGCCATAACTAAGGGAGGCTGTGGAAGCAAGAGAGGCTCTGACTAGGAGCACGGGGTGGAGGTGGTGTTTACAATTGATAGAGGGGATACAATTGATAGAGGTCATTTTGAAGTGTTCCCCACCCTCTTACATAGAGGAACCCCCAGTCAGTAACACACATGAAGGGTTAACACAGGCAGTGACTCCAATGATAAAATTATGTCCATGTCGTAATTTCTCATTCTCTCCAAATGTCCCATCAATGTTCCCACTGCCTGGGGCTGTGGCTAACCACCAAAGCTCTGGCAGAACCTTTCCCTCAGGAGACGCTATAATAGGGTGTAGGCGATGCAGGGGTCCTAGAAAGTTGTCTTCATCCAGATCCCATGGGCATCTTCAGGACAAGTCAGCCAGTTGACCAGTACCTCAGGTTGTTCATTCAGAGGCACAGAGTTCTTTAGAGCCCAGGAGCACACCAAGGGGGAATTCCACTCTCGAACCAGGTCACCAGACTCTCACTGCAAACTGGGAAATGTTCGTCCAATGGGGTAACCTGTGGGTAATTAGAGATTGGAAAACTCAAGTGATGAATGAATTGGTAATGTCTAAAAAAATATATCCAACCCCTAGTAGATCTCAAAGCCATAGGCCTAACAGGTCACTCAGATCAGAGGGACACATCTGTACACCAATAATAAATAGGAGTGGTGGATATATCCCAATATAGTTAGAGAGAACAGTGCAGGCCCCACATGGGAAACATCTAGAACAGTGGTTCTCAGCCTTCCCAATGCTGTAACCATTTAATACAGTTCCTCATATTGTAATGACTATGAATCACATTGCTATGAATCACAATGAAAATATCTGAGCTGGGTGGTGGTGGTGCACGCCTTTAATCCCAGCACTCAGGAGGCAGAGCCAGGTGGATCTCTTTGAGTTCAAGGCCAGCCTGGTCTTCAGAGTGAGATCTAGGACAGGCACCAGAACATCATAGAGAAACCCTGTCTTGAAAAAAAACAATAAATAAATAATAGAAAATATCTGATATGCAGGATGTCTGATATGTGACCCCCAAAGAGGTCATGACCCACAGGTTGAGAACCACTGAAGAAGACCAATTACGTCACTCTGATACTTATAAATGTCATCTAATGTTTTAAAAGCCAGATATTTAAAAATAAACCTTGATTTGACTTACATTACAGTCATTTTTAAAAAATTAATTAATTAATTCTACATTGGGACTGGAGTTTCCACTCTCTCCTCTCCTCCCATTCCCTCCCGAATCACTTTTTGTGTCCCCCAGTGGATCCTCTCCTCCTCCATTTCTATTCAGAAAAGGACAGGGGATAATGACAAAACACAGTGTAATGCCCATGCGTGAGCCCCCTCCCCTCCAACAAGACCGCCAAGGAGCCGACTTCCAATGTAAGAACAATAGGTTTCCTATATTCCGGCCTAGGCAGGGACCTTCCCAACACCACTTTACAGTAGGTGAAAAGAGGGAAGGTCCCGAGCACTCACTTTAAGGGGTTTATATAAGAAAGGTTCACATGCAGAATGTTACATATCTCGGCGGCTAGGGACGAGGTAGAGACATAAGGTTACTAATTGCTAACAGGGTTCAGGGTGTCTATAGAGACATACATTTTTATTCCCTATGTCCTATTTTTGTTGACACATTCAGATTTATTGCTGCATTCCTACACTCTCTTTCGAGTTAAACTTTTGGTCAATTAAAAAAAAAAGGTTGGTCAGCAAATACCTTTGGAGGAAGAAGGGGGTAGGGGAAGGAACATCTTTTAAGATGGCTGCTAATTTCTCCCTTTCAACAACATATCAAGTTAGAGTAAGACTAAGCACTTCACCTTGTATTAAGGTTGGGCAAGGTGACCTAATATGAGCAGCAGGTTTCCAAAAGCCAGCAAAAGGGTCAGAGACAGGCCCTGTTCCCACTGCTAGGAGTCCCATAAGAAGACCAAACAAAACAACTGTCACATCTATGCAGAGGGCCCAGGTCAGTCCCATACAGGCTCCCTGGTTGTTTGCTCAGTTTCTGTGAGCTCCAATGAGCCCAGGTTAGTTAATTCTGTGGTTTTCTTATGTTGTCCTTGACCTCTCTGTATCCTGCAATCCTTCCTGCCTCTCTTCAGCAGGATTCCCTGAGCTCTGCCTAGTGTTTGACTATGGGTCTCTGCATCTGTTTCTACCAGTTGCTGGATGAAGCCTCTCTGATGACTATTGGGCTAGGCATGAGTATAGCAGAGTATCACTAGGCATCATTATTTTGATATTTTTTTCTACAGTAATGTTTGGTTATATCCTAGGTCTCTGGGCCATCCAGCCTCTGGGTCCTATCTCTAGGCAGTGTCAGGGGTGACCCATTCTCTTGGCATGGGTCTGAGGCTGGACCAGGCATTGGTTGGCCACTCCCAGAATCTCTATGTCACCCTTACCTCAGCACATTACATAGTCAGAACACAATGTAAGTCAGAGGTTATGTAGTTCAGTTGGGATCCAGATACCTCCACTGGAAGTCTTGCCTGGTCACAGGAAGTTGCCAATTCAGTGTAGGTATCCACTATTGCCGGGAATGTTAGCTGGGGTCATCCTTGCAGATTCCTGGGAATTTCCTTTGCACCAGGTTTCTACTGACCCTGAAATACCCCCTTCCCCATTGGTTCTTTCAGTACTCTCCCCCAAACCACCCCACCTGATTCCCGACCCCACCCCCACCTTGATTGGACATACTTTACAGACAGTTTTTAGTAATTGTTAATCTTAGAACTTAGAAACTAATATCATATATATCGTTTTTCAAGTCTGATCCTTAAATACATTAGAGAACTTACTCGACTTTTGTAACTTATAAAAGCCATTTAGTTTCCCATTCTGAAGCCATTTATCCATATAATCTTTATACATCAATCTTTATGCATTAAATAATTTTTATATTTTTATAGTTTTTTATACATTATCTCCTTATCTTTATAGCAATTTTATTTTTAAAACCACTATAGTAGTATATGTCGATCTCCCTTTATTATTTTTAAAATAAAATTAGTTGGGGGGCCAGCTCACCTCCTTTTTTTTTTTTTTTTTGGTTTTTTGAGTCAGAGTTTCCCCATGTAGTTTTGGTTCCTGTCCTGGAACTCGCTCTGTAGACCAGGCTGGCCTTGAACTCACAGAGATCTGCCTGGCTCTGCCTCCTGAGTGCTGGGATTAAAGACATGTGCCACGGCAATCCGGCTTACTTCCTTTTATTGTGAAGGAGTATTAACATTCAACAAATTTTGTTGTGATCATTTTAGGCTGGTATGGCTGAAGGTAGAAAGAGAGTAGTTCAACCTAGAAGATAGACCAGAAGTCCTGTATTGGATCTTAAAGATCCATTTGATTATTAATACGGACTTAAAGACACCACAGAGATTAAAATATCCTCAAAATCTTTAAATGTCTGTATTTATGTATACATACACTGTCTCAACCAGATGATTCATGAATATCTTTTGAGGAGAAGTTTCCATGTTTGAATCAAGATGCTAATTGCAATAGACCTCATCATCATCGGGTGAATTGCCTGCCTCTCAGTCATCTTTTGGGCTACCAGGTCTCCCTCTGTATTGTTTGGCTCTTTGCTTTCTACATATTTGGTGAAGAGACGGGAACATTTGTGGTTTGCCACAATCTGGACTTTGCTGTGGGTGTCCTGCCTGCTTTTCTGTCCCTGTGTTTCCAATGTATCTAAGAACACATGGGAAGCAGCACCGTACATCCACCAGGGGCACTGCCTCCCAAGAGCCGGAAAGGTTAACAGGTCCTGGGGTCCTTCCCTTCACCAGTGGGGCAAAAAGTCGCTTATGTGACTACCTTTCTACCTGTACAATTTACAAAGAGAAGAAAAGGCCTGTCACCCTCTTTCACACCCTGCAGGGATGCTCACCTGGTCTCTTGCTGTCCTGTGTGTTCTTGCTGCTCTAGGCCTGGCCTAGAAATACCAACATGGCAGGAAAAGCAGAAGCCACAAGAGCAGAAACTGAGCTGGTGGCTCCACCAGTTTTCCCGGTTTGAGGTTCTGGAAGTCACAACAAAAGCTGAGTGATTGTACTCCACAGGGGCTTCCTGACCATGCCTCCCACCCTCTTAGGAGGGATGCTTGCCCTATTTTCTCACCAAGGAGTGTAGGGACCTCAATGTTCTTGCTGCGGTGTCTCAGACGGCAGGTGAAGTGTGGTTCCTGTCCAGGAAGAACCCAAACAGACACCCAGGTCTGGTAGGTCCCATCTCCGCTGGGCAGGATGGTCCCAGGCCCAAAGGTATGCTGCTGTGCCGGCTTCCCATGCTGAAGCCAGGCCAGGGTGGCCACAGCAGGATTCAGATTAAAAGCCCAGCATGTCAGGGTGATCTTGCCCAGTTTGTGCACTTTGCTGGTCACTGTCATGTTTGGGGAACCTGAGAGATGATAAAGCGGGTCAGTTAAGATGAGGACCTTTCAATCTCTGAATGGAGTGTCGCCCAGAAGAATCGTCTTGTTCACATTCACTGCCCGGCGCCCACTGGATGGCACAGCTCTCAGTGGCTATAGGACTGTGGGAGGCTGGGGCTCAGCTCCACTGGCCCTTGATGCTCTTGAGAGTCAGTCCCTTCTTTACATGCTGATGATGAGAGGACATGGTGTCCCTGCTGTCACGGGTCAGCAGTCCCTCTTTCCAGCACAGGTCACAGATGAACAACAGGCACTGAGAGGACAGAGGCTCAGTGTTTATAGGGGCCACAGATCAGACCGTGGTGGGCTGTGCCTCTTCTCTAGGACAAAGCCAGCTCCGCAGTCTCTAGGGGACAGGTGAGGGACTCTCCAAGTACAGTCAGCTGACTGTGGCCATGATTGTTTGTTCCTGGATTTATCCAAAAACTGATGACCAGTATCTTTCTTCCTCCACTAATATCCCAGGACAACCTCTATTTTCTGTTACAAGATTTATCTAAAGCTTTAAACCTCACACTTCAGATCTCAGACAGGTCCATTATCATAACACTAGAAAGGAAGAGGCAGGCAGTGGGTGAGTGCGGGTGAGAGGCATTATGAGACTCTGCATAAAGAAAATAATAATAAAATAAAGCCAAATAAAAATATGAAACTTGATCTTTTAAATATTTTAGATTAGTTTATTTTATGTATATAAATATTTTGTCTCCAAGAATGTATGTGTACCATGTGTAACCTAGTGCCTATAAAAGTCAGCAAAGGAGGGGGGGTGTTGGTGCATGCCTTTAATCCTAGCACTTGGGAGGCAGAGGCAGGTGTATCTCTGTGAGTTCGAGGCCAGCCTGGTCTACAAAGTGAGTTCCAGGACAGAGAAATCCTGTCTCAAACAAACAAAAACAAACAAACAAACAAACAAACAAACAAACAAACAAACAAAGCAGGTCAGAGTGTGCCACCACATTGTAGAACTGTGGTGGGTCACAGTTATCACTTGTAGACCTGCTGAAAGACAGGGCAGAGCTCAGTGAGGATGAGGATCTAAAAATCCTTTCCTGGTGAGAATCTGAGGGCAGAAACAAACCAGTTATTATGAAGTGTCCCCCTGTGGACATTTGCCTCCTGCCTCCTCTCCCTAAGAGTCAGGCCACCTGTGGTCAAATGAGTGTATGACATTCACAAACAGCTCCTTAGGCTCCTGATACTCTGTGGGTGTCAGTCCGCATCTATCTGGAGAACTTGAGAGGACAAGAAGATTTCACTGTTAGAGGCCAGCTGATCCAGCGTGTGATGTAGAAGAAGTTATAGGCACTGATGGGCCAAAGAGCCACTGGACAGAAAGTGGGGGCAACTAAGTGAAATCTAAGATTACTGACATCTGGGGACTTATAACTATGCACTCATGTCAGAGACACCTGAGCTTCCCCACTTAAGGTGCACAACAGAGGCTCTGGAGGAGATCACTCACACTCTATCTGAGTGTCACCTTAGACTATGTGATGCTTGTCTAATTTATTGAGAACCCAGCACCTCATAAGCACTGTGGCAAGATGCAGTCAGACTCAGTGAATGGACCCGCGCACCCATAGTCAGTACCTGTATCCATCAATTCTCTCCCCAAATAAATCAAATATCTCTGGAGACGGTCAGGACATATGCCATTCAGAAAAGTCTTAACTTGTTCCACACTGGGGCCATGCCTCTCCCAGAAGGTCTTGGATGAGTGTGCTGAAGGCACGGCCACTTTCCATGTTTGGCTCTTCTGGTCAAAGGTGAGGAAGTCTTGCCCATCATAGCCCAAGCGCCAGAAGCCTCCAGTGTTGTTTCCTTGGGTTTCACAGCCAAAAGTTGCCTGAAGGGTGTGAATGCCTGGCCATACCAGGCAGAGACTTGTCACCTTATTTTTTAAGGACCTTATTTCCCTCTGGTCTTAAGGTGAGTTGGGCACATCCTGTGACCTCTCAGGATTCGGGTCCTGCATCCCTCACAGAAGCATCACTAGTTTAATCACTCATCCCAGCTGTGTCCAACCCCCAACCCTGACTTTAGAGACCAGAATTGAATTGTGTGCTTCTGTCTCGGCCTACTCACCTCCACGCTGGCCCTTCTGGGTCATGACCTCAGTCAGCATCCTCCTGAGTTGCTCCTCCTTCTCCTGCATGTCCTCAGTCTCTCTTGTCCAGATCTCAGCTCCTCTATGTCCCTTGATCCTAGGCCCCCAGAGCTCTTCTCTTCTCCTGTAGCCATCATAGCGCAGGAAGAGCTCATTGTCAATGTATCCCTGGGCTCTGAATTGGGACTTCTTTGACGCCTCCAGAGACAAGGCCATGAGGTCATAGTGCAGAGTATGGGTTCCTGAGAGAGGAAGAGAAAGATGACACAATTAACAAGTTGATGGTTTTCACAGTCAGCTCTGCCTTGAGGAACTGAGCTCAGACTGTACTGTGCTGCTGTGTGAGTGTGAGAAGCCAAGAGGAGTGTTTTGTTAGAGCGTGGAAGAGAAAAGGAGTGAAGAGAGTGAGAGAAGGAGAGATTGTAGTAGAGAGATGTAAAATGGCCTTCTGGTGTCTGACAGCCTTGGCACCACGAAGCCATGGTGCTCTGGGTGTCTTCTGCTGCCAGCCACGGCCCTGGTGTTATCTGGGCCTGAGAGTCGTGTGTGTGTCTGTGGCCCTCCAGCAGCCAGGGTTTGATCCAATGTCTGTGGCTGCTGTGGGATGTTCTGTATGGCAAATGTGTTGTTGACTGGTCAATAAATAAAACACTGATTGGCCATTGGCTAGGCAGGAAGTGTAGGCGGGACAAGGAGGAGAATAGAGCTGGGAAGTGGAAGGCTGAGTCAGAGAGACACTGCCAGCCGCCAGGATGAGAAACAGCATGTGAAGATGCCGGTAAGCCACGAGCCATGTGGCAAGGTATAGATTAATGGAAATGGATTAATTTAAGCTGTAAGAACAGTTAGCAAGAAGCCTGCCACGGCCATACAGTTTGTAACCAATGTAAATCTCTGTGTTTACTTGGTCGGGTCTGAGGGGCTGTGGGACTGGCAGGTGAGAGAGATTTGTCCTGACTGTGGGCCAGACAGGAAATCTCTAGCTACAAATGGCGTCCAACGTGGTGGCAAGAGTTTCCACCTAAAATCTGACAAAAAAGATTCTAAAACGGAGCTAAAAACAACTTCTTAATTGTCTCTCTCAAATGAGCAGCAGCTGCCGGTTTGAGCTATTTGTGGGTTCCTAGCATGTGCGCGATCGACCTGCAGTATGGCAGGAATGAGGCCTCTGCAGGTGGCATATTAAGCTGCATGGTGGATTTAGACTTTGCTAGTACAAAAAAAAAAAAAAAGAGGTTTCTGGGCTACACGCTGCTTGGATAAAAGCATAGACCCACGATAGCCCCCAGAGCTGGTGGTAAACCACTGTCATGTTGGGAAACTGAGGTGGGCAGAGCCAGCAGCCACAGCTGCTGCAGTTTAAAGCAATAGATTCACAATAAGACAGATTCAGATGTAATAGTTTACAATGTGTGTAAAAGATACGTAGGCTTGAAAGAGACAAAAAAGATGATATATACAGTTATAGAAACAAATACATAGTTTTAAAAAATAAAGTCTTTAAAGAGACAGTAAAATTAATATAAAAAATAAGCCATGTGGAGATGACTATCACACAGAGAATCTGGATTGTGTTGTCTTTGGGATTTTTAACTGCAGAAAAACATTTGATTGTAAAAGCTGTTGAGTTATGACAAAATGTATATTTTAAAGGTACCTTGACTTCAAAATTTGGATATAAGGATATGCTGCTTTGGAAAAGAGTCTCTGCTTTTGTTCCCACAGAAAGCCAGAGGCTATGGATTTGTTCCAGATTAAGATACATCAGGTTTGACCAGCCAAGACCCCCTGAAAGGTCTCCGATGACACCATGGCCGAGATGATCCAACATCCAAAATGGTTTGAAGGCAACTGGCTCAGACGATACACCCTCATGGACTATTCCATAATCCTAAAATTTTCTTTGAGTTCCCATAAGATACAGCGCCCCCATCCAGTAGGAAGTAGTAAGAGAAGGTACGCCCAAATTCCCAAATTATATGTAATTTTACTTTGTTAAGGTTAAAACCTTCCTTTTTGAAAAAAAAAATGGGGGAAGTGCTGTGGGATGTTCTGTATGGCAAATGTGTTGCTGATTGGTCAATAAATAAATTACTGATTGGCCAGTGGCTAGGCAGGAAGTATAGGTGGGACAAGGAGGAGAATAGAGCTGGGAAGTGGAAGGCTGAGTCAGAGAGACACTGCCAGCTGCCACGATGAGAAACAGCATGTGAAGATGCCAGTAAGCCTCGAGCCATGTGGCAAGGTATAGATTAATGGAAATGGATTAATTTAAGCTGTAAGAACAGTTAGCAAGAAGCCTGCCATGGCCACACAGTTTGTAAGCAATATAAGTCTCTGTGTTTACTTGGTCGGGTCTGAGTGGCTGTGGGACTGGCAGGTGAGAGAGATTTGTCCTGACTGTGGGCCAGACAGGAAATCTCTAGCTACATGTGGCTCCTGTTGCAACTGGTCTATGTGGTTACCTTGGGTCTGATCAGCTGACCAGGACCTTGTTGGTGCCCAAGAACAATCTGTGCTGCAACTGGTACCGTGCAGATCTGAGTGGCCTGTGGTGCTACTAATGTAATGGTGATGTCCCAGCCAGAGCTGCTTCTGAAGGCCATGTCATGAGTGTGGCCCCACTGCAGCAAGGGTTTGTGTTAATGTTCAATGCTCCTGTTACCAAGGAAATCCATGCAGATACCTGAGTTCTGGGGACATGTTTTTGTCTGAGGGCCACAGTGTTGCTGGGGCCATGTCAATCTGAGTGGACTGCACTGCCACCTGGGGCAATGGTGACATCCAGACATGGCTGCTGCTGAGGATCATGTCTGGGTCCATGGTCCAGCTGTGCCTGGGGTTGGTGTTGATGTCTGTGGCCTGTAGGATTTCAGGGGGCATAGGAACCTATGGGTGATAAAATCAGAAGGTCAGGCTGAGCTGTCCCTGCCATTGGTGGGCCTGGGAAAACTGGCCCTGCCCCTCACTGGACACTGAGCAAGAGAGCTGGTCCCAACCCTCACGGGAGAACTGGCTCCACACCTGGGAGAGATGGCCTCACCGCTCACCGCAGTTGAGGGAGAAATGACTTTAATGTAATGGGCATAGGCTATAGGGTAAAAGGGCCAGACAAAGAAACACACCCTAACCCTGAAACCAGAGCCAAAAACCAGAACCAGTGAAAGAAACACACCTTAGCCCTAAAAACAGAGCCAGAAGGTTAAGAAGAGCCAGTGAAAGAAACACACTTTGTCCCTGAACCAGAGCCAAAGAAACATTCTCTGCCCCTGATCAGCTGAGCATGAAACCAACCAACCCCTGAGCATGAAATCAGCCAATCTCTGAGCTTGTCCAAGATGCATGATTGAAATCTGATCAATTCCCACCCTGAAAATCTTCACTGTGCATAAACTCTGCCGCCAAGAAGCCCTGTATAGGCCCAGTGCCTGTTCCTTGGGAGTTTGCCTTTTTCCACCTTGGCAGAGGCAGCCACTCGCCTGGATTCCTCCCTCCCAATAAATCTCTTGAATGAGTTTTAGGTGAAGGTCTTCTTTCACTGGGGTGGAGATGCACAGAGAAGTAACAATTTTTGCAGGAGCAGGCACAAACTGCTATATTTCTTGAGGGGAGGGGTTCCCCCAGCAGAGTGTGGCAGAGAAGTAGCAATTTTCACTTGAGCAGAGAAGCAAGGGACATCTCTACAGGGAAGCTCTCTTAGTAGAGTGGAGTAGAGATGAGCTGTAAAGGCTCTCTGGGAGAAGACCAGGATTGCTACATTCCTGTGGGTAAACCATCCACTATCAGACCACAGCCATAGGTATAGCCTGGCTTCTGAAAGCTGGGATGCCTTTCCCTTCAGAGCTATAAATACTTAAATAGTAGACCTGGCTTCTCTCCCACACCTGAGGTGGGTGGCCCCTGTGGCCCAGACTGCCCAGTTCAGGTATAACCCAGACCCACAGCTGGCCCTTGGGTTGGCCCACCCTAACATCTGCCCATTCTAGGACCTGCTGGAGCTCCTGAAGTGACTGGTCCTGTGGAAAGCTACTCGCGGGATCTCAGAGCTGCTGCAGGATATCCCAGGGGAGTTTCAGTGGGGCTGCAGTGATGAAGGTGTACCAGAAACCAGAGGCTTTGAAGCAGATCCATGACTTATTGCAATAAACATGTGCTAGTAAAACTGATTGGACAAAGGACTATACTATGTGATTCAAAGTAATATAAGGGACTACTTCAAAAAATCTCTACTCCATGATGTTGAAAAATCTAAAAAAAGGGGTACATTTCTAGATTGAGTCAAACCACCAAAGTCGAACCATGAAGTGATCAATAGCCTAAATATAACCATAATAAAGGGGAGATAAAAAAGTAATGATAATCCTTCTGAAAAAAGCAAATGAACAAACACACACAAAAAAACAGTCCAGGCCCATATGGATTCACAGCAAATTCTACTGTATTTTTAAAGAACATCTAGAGCCAATTCTTCTTAAATTAAAAAAAAAGACACATAAAGAGCATTCTCAAACTTGGTCTATGCCAGTGTATAGTTTGTGTATCAGTCTCATACACAAACCAAGTAAATACACAGCAAAATTCCCAAATCACGGACCAGTATCCCTATTGAACTCTCATGCAAAATCCTCAATAAAATACTTGAAAACAAAATACAGGCATATATCATGAACATCCTCCACAATGATCAAGTTGACTTTATTACAGAGACACAGGAATGGTTTAGCATATGTAAGTTAACAAATATTATAAAGCCTAGTCACGGGCTTACAGACAAAAAAAATCACAGGATTGTACTAGAATGTTTTAAGGTGTGTTACTTTTGTTTATGTTGCATTTGTTTAACTCTGTGAAGCTGTGTTACTGTGCCTGTCTAAAACACCTGATGGTCTAATAAAGAACTGAATGGCCAGTAGAGAGCAGGAGAAAGGATAGGCAGAACTGGCAGGCAGAGAGAACATATAGAGGGAGAAATCTGGAAAGGGGGATGGAAAGCAAGCCAGAAAATAGGAGGACATGAAGGGCCAGCCACCCAGCTACACAGCCAACAAGCCAGGATGTAAGAGTAAGATTTACAGAAGTAAGAGAACGGGAAAAGCCCTGGGGCAAAAGGTAGATGGGATAATTTAAGATAAGGAAAGCTGATTAGAAACTAAGCCAAGCTAAGGCCAGGCATTCATAAGTAATAATAAACCTGCATGTGTGAATTTATTTGGGAGCTGGGTGGTGGGCCACTAAAAAAAAG